AAGCAGCCCCTGGGCAAACGCTGCAACATGGGTCAGTCGTTGATTAAATTCCCAAAAAAAAAAAAAAAAAAAAAACACTATTTCCCTCTCCACTCACACTGGCTTGTAAAGCTGAACTGCTGAACTTTTGCACTTCAGCCGTGGCCTCGAATACATTTTCAGGCAACGTCTGATGGAGAAATGGTTTCATTTGTGGACATAATGGAGGCAGAGTTATTAAAACAGTTAAGGTCCATGTGATTAACTTGAATTGCTTTTTGTTTTTGAACTTCTAAGTGACTTTGTTTCTGCTTAGATCCAGTGTTTAGCATGGTTTTGAAGCATTAAAAAAATAAATGAAGCATTTTAAAAAAGTCTGTCATAACACCATGTTTGTGACAACTGTTCATTATGGTTATGCTTGCCACTTTTCAGTCATCTGTGGTTTTCTGATTCAGACTTCAGACCAGTTTCTTGTTTTTTTTTTAGCTCACAACCCATAGGTCGGGTCATCCCTTAGTTCTTTATTGCTCTGCCTAGAGCCGTGAGTTTCTCTTGCTTGAAGCCCTGATAAATCTGTCCCCAAAATGTTATTTTTGAAGCCCTTTCTTTTCTGAAATGTGTCACATGCATTGTTTGTCCCAGGCTGAACAAGTAGTTGTTTGTTTGAGGAAGCAAGGTGAGGGCACTAAAGAAGTCACTTCTATGAGAAACAGTGTGTTTTTTGTTTTTCTGTTACCAAAGAAGAGAATCAAAGTTGTTTTTTTGTGTGTGTGTGTGTGTGTTGAGCCTCAAACCATACAGAGAAAGGACAGAAACATCAGCTCCCTTGAAGCTGGTTTGGGGTTTTGTTCAGTGCTGTGTTATTTGACATTTTGCTACCACTGAAGAGGGGCCTGTCAGTTCTAAGACTTCTCCTCACTTAAGCAAGGATTAAACAATGATGGCAGTCTTTTGTCACGAGCGTTGGCAGCGACTGCCTTCGGTTCTTCTTCGTACATACAGTTTTTTGGGTTGTATTTTTTTTTATCTTTCCAGCATTCATTCATTAAATCATGTATTCACTTATTTATTATCTAATCCCAAGTGTGAGGTGCACAAGTTGCCACTAGGAGGTGGTTTTTCACATTTTAATTTGAAGTTTTTTCACACAATAAAAACATGTAAGTAAACATTTACTTCTGAGTATTTTAAATCAAAAGCTGACGTTTCACTTAATAAATCAATGCAGATTATATTTATATTATATATATTCTTGCATTAGGTGACAGCAGATGGTTAAAAAAAAGAGAGAGTCAGAGCTGTTGAACAATACCTTTAAATGTGTGTGTGTGTGTGTTTCTTGAATTCCTGCAAGTATATCAGCATTGTGTTCAACTAAACAGGTTTCACGACATTTTTGTTTACAGTAGTGTTGCTCTCTGGGATTTTTTAATGAAAAAAGTTTGGGAAACAACACTTTTGAAATAATAACAAAGCCTTGAGGTGACAGAGTTGGAGAAACTTTGATTTTAACTAGAAGTGACCAGAACTGACAGCACATTGAATAAGCTTTTTATTTTTGTTTATTTTTGTAAAGATTGGGAGATGAAGTTGGAGAGGCAGAATTGAGGAAATATCCAAGGTTTGGACATTTGCTGGGGACAGAAAGTGGTTCTATTGCACAGCAGAAGCACTTCATGAATGTAATGAGAGAGGGTACATTAAGATGGTTGGTGTACTGTCAGAAGAGGCAAATGATCCAGTGTAGCAGCACATCAGGCATTAGCTGTTATAATATTAAATCATCTGATTATTAATTCAACTCTGTATTAAGTATGAAGTCTCTTTGTTTGACAGTTGACTTTAATTATTCAGAAGCCTGCACTTTGAGTCTAGTGTGTTACTTTATGCATGGATTTATTGCATTATTTCCATTTAATATAAAACCTTATTCAGGACCACAGCATGCTTTGTGCTCTGTGCTCTTACTGGCCACTGGTTGGCCAAAATCTTTTTAGTTAATTTCCCATGTGGTGAGGTGCAAAGTGATATGGGTGTTTTTATTTACTTTGAAGCTGCATAATTGGAAACAGCCTTTAAAAAGCCACTTGTCTGTCACTTTATTTGTTGTTGTTCTGCTGTGAAGTGATGGAATTTAGAGGCGGTCATCTGCGTTTTAAGTACAGCTGACATTATGTGACTGCTTCACATCTGAGCTTTCCTGTACGGCCGTGCAATATGGAGGCAATAGATTCTTTCTTATAAGAAGAAAATCTATTCATGACAGGGGCAACAGAGGTACGAAGCAGATGATTCCTTGTTTTGAACCGTAGCGTGGTGGAGATACAGCAGCAGCAGGTTACTTAAACTTGTATATAAATGTACTGATCTTTCTCTGTTTTCCTGTGGGGATTTGAAGCCTCAAAAGGCCAAGCAAATGTTTGAGCTGGTGTATACCAGGGGGAAGTGACCACCTCAAAGTAAAGCTGTTGCCAACATATACTGAATTATTACAGAACAAGGGATCGGTCTGTGGCAGTTCCATTTACTGTCACAGCAGTTCTACACTCATACAAACACACGGTACATGGAGACTGTTGAGGTCTCACTGGTAATACACATTGTTCTTTAAATAGACACTCGTTTTGAAAAGGGCACAGAGGGAGCAGAATAAAAGCAATGCTCATGCGGGTCATGCATTTTTTTACATTTAGATGACACTTATAAACTGTCTATAAGTAACAAATGAAAACAGGTGTGAAACACATTCATCTACCTGCTGTTATTTGTCATTCTGTTCCACTCACACAGATGAGTACTGTTCTGAAGGGTTTATAGCCTTGGTTGCTATTTTCAGGTCTTCTAAAAAAAGAACATCATGTCCTGTTTTCAATTTTGTTTGGGTCTTAGGACGAAAGTATAAACAGATTTTCAGGATAACAGACAGCAGATTATACAACGCGTTGCTTCTTCTGAATAAACAGTGGTCCAGACACATTCTGGAGTATCCAATGGAAACTTGGTTGCAGGCGGCGTCTGAGAACCTTTGCTTTGAGATATGCCAGAATGAAGTATTTATTGTCTAATAAATATAAGATGCCTTTGGTAACTGGAGGGAATTTATGTTTCTGAAATATGATCTATTATGACAATAGGTAGCAATTAAAGATATACTGAAGGACAGTAAAGGATGTCAAACCCCTTGTGTCACTTGTGATTTTTTTATTTCTTCATCCTCGCTTACACTGGCAGTTCCCAAACTACAGGTCTTGGAGCTAACCCAGGGTGCACTGCAAAAGACAACACACACATATATATATGATCATTTCAAACATTTCTAAACAGTGGGGAAATTACACTGATTGGTTCTTGTATTTCCTTTGATCAATGTGTTAGGATTAAATGAAGCTGAATGGAAATGTTAAGCAACAACTCTGAATGTGTCTCCTGTTATTTTCATAGCTGACAAGACGGAATAACATTTATTTTTAACAAATCCATCCTCCACCACTGGGATTTGGGAACAAATATTTCAACTGTTGATATCAGTCGATTCGCTTGGCCATTGTTGACTAAAGGTGTGACCAAATTTAGACCGTTCGTGACAGTTATATACAAACCAATGTAAATAATACAAATCCCTCTCTCTTGGTGTTGCTGACACTTTGTCATTTTCCTTCCATCTATTGAACATATTTATTTGTATTAAATCTAGAACGTGCCTAGAACTGATGTTACTTTGCCTACTTTACATTTCTTTGGTAAACACTCACTTTCCAGGTCTACTGGTTGAAAGTCGTTCCTTTTTCCTCTTTTTTTTTTTTATTTCTCCTCTCTGTTGTGACATGTTGTATTTGACTGTGTTTCCCTTGGATTGTCCCTCACTCATAAATCACTGTCAACCTAGTTCTAGTAGTAAAAAACCAGCTGACAGTATCACCAACTATGCACGTGTACACGTGAGGCAGTATGTGTGTGGTTTTGCATACAGAGACAAAGAAAACAAAGATGATTTCAGATTCTGGTGAATGCACATTTTCAATGGGCCTGGTCTCTGAATCCTTCATTAATCAATAGATCTTCACATGTGGTTTCTATTTGAGGGCGTTTTTGCCTAGATGCCCTTGACCAGAGCCGAGGGATGAGGCTTTGCTGGACCGTATCTGCTATGAAAATTAATGTCAGTCGGTTACACACAGCCAGTGATGCATTGTATTCCCAGCTCCTCTGGGCTGGAAAAAAGGGAAATGGAAAAAGAAAAGAAACAAAAACAAAGCATAGCTTAGAAAAATATAATAATGCAGCACTGTGGGAAATAATGTAGACCTAGATTTTGTTGAATTTTGTATAATTATTATACAATTAAGTCTACTTTTTAATTATCTGTTGGAATTAAAATGGTCTGTCCAATAATGATGAAATGACTGTACTGTACAAAGCATATATTTTTAACACTCACATACTATAGCAGGTCATTTTTTAACACAGAGGTCAAAGTTGAATCCCTGGTTCAGTTAGTGACATCCTGTTTGATGCATGGGAAAAACCCTTACCCTCATGTTTGTCCCAGAGGCTGTAACCAAAGTGTGTGAATGAGTGTGACAGATGTGTGGGGAACAAAGTCATTACATACGTTATGAAAGATGCATTTAAAGAACATGCATGCTGAATGTAGTTCAGGAGTGAAAGAGAGATTGGAAAATGCATGCTGTTAAGATGTTTGTCTTGTGATCTGATGTGTTGTCACCCTATAGAGTTCACCTGTTGAATATATTTAATATTATAGGCTATGAATAAATGAGAAAGTGTTTAGAATTGATAAATGTGATAGGATTGGTTGCCAAAAAAATCCACCATCCTTTAATACTTGGAGAGCCTGTGGCACTTGGACATCCCTGGTTTAGATAAAACCCCTGTCTAAAACATTATGTCCTTGACCAACTTTTGTGTTCCAGGGAAGTGTTTCCAAATGGCCTACCTGAGGAGTTCACCCTGAGCTTCACCCTAGCTTTAAAGAAGGCTGCCCTGAGGGACACCGTCTACCTCTTCCAGATTTCAGACCAGCAGGGATACCCACAGGTGTATCCCGCTCCTTGTTGTCCTGATCAAATATTCTTGCCTTTTTTTTTTCCCCCCAAATCCATCTGATATCCTGCTCCCTCTGTTGATTTACTCCCCTTTTTTCTTCTTT